CGCTCCTCCATCCATCACGTTGGAGCCGCTGCTGCTCACCGCGTGGCAACCCATGAAACGGGACCAAAGCGGACCTTGTCCTTTTAACAGGAAATAACTCTGGATAGATAGACCTCTCTCTGTATCCATCTCAGCACAGCGCAAAGGGACTTAGCTCTGCGCTCCCAAAGGAGGGAAAACGTTTGCCCGGCGTCGGCAGGGGAACGGGCTGCGGGGGACCGCAAGGGTCAAAGCAATTCCTGGCCGCGGGCTGGCAGCAGCGCTCGGGCGCGGGGGCAGAACATGCAAGGCACAGGCACGCAACAGAAGAATAATGCTGGGCGTTAGCTAACTTTCATCATTGCTGAAAATAAATAAAACGGACAGGTTAATACCACTCTGAGGCAGTCGTTCCTGTTACGGGCTACGTAGGAGAACGTTTTTCAGCAGACTCAAATCTACTGGTAAGAGGTTTCCTCACTCGCCTCTAACAACAAGAGTCATAGCAGGAAGGAGCAGCGAGGGAAAGCTCTCAGTCGCGTTACAAAGCTCAAAAAAAGCCAGCGTTTCCTTCATAAAGCACTCTAAACTCTTTGCTTAGTGGTCGCTATCCAAGGCAACACACTGACCCGAGATGAAAAGGATGTTTTTTGCCAAACTAGTTATGTTTTAATTAACCATTTTCCATCACTTCTAAAACACAGATTGAGCCAATTTCCATTAGTCTCAGTTCCTTAGCTTGTACAAAATCAATGGCTCAGAGAGAACACACTTTGAGATCTCTCAGAATTAAATAAAAACCACAGGTTTTTACCCAAACCACTATTAAATTACACTCTGCCTCGTACAACAGTAGCTCTGTCATCTGGCAGTTCCTGAGAACTCTGTTTTTTAAATAATTTTTAAAAGCAAATTGCCTCCTAACCATAAACAGACCCAAAGGTTCCTCACAGCACCTCACCGCCGTCGCACACTGCCACCCATGCAGAGGCGGGCTCCCGTTACCCAATTCTTTTGTAGAGCATCTCTCTCTCTCTCATATATATACACATAGCAGATAACCAAGCAGTATGTAATATCTGATGAAGCCTGATTATCTTAGCCATTAAGATGTTCCTTCCACATGAAGGAAACGCCTCTGGCTATCCTACACTGCCATCATTTCCTATCACGAATCTAGGTGCACAGCTCAAAGAGAGAACACCTCTTCTAGAGGCGATGGATGCCGGGAACTTCACTGATGACAGCAGGAAATTCACAGTATTAGAAAAATATTAACATGTTGCCAGGATCAGACCAGTGAAGGTGACACATCAACAATTTAAACGCAAATTTCCCTTTAGATATCCGTACGTGCAACATCTCTGTCTTCTCTCATCTTGGGCTATCAGCTTCTGGGGCAAGGAGAGTCTCCATGTTGCCTGCTCAGCTACAGGGAGCACATAGGACCCCAAGACCAAGACTGAGGCTTTGCAGGGCTGTCCCAGCGGATGCCCTTCTCTGCCCATCTGTGAAGACAGAAGAGGAGCCCCAGCTGGAAATGGGTTTCCTCAGCTAGAAAAGGCTCCCTGCAGCGGGCGAGCATGGCGTTCGTTCCCTGCACTGCTCTCGGTTCAGCTACGGTCAAGGAAGGTAATTCCTTTTCCAAGAGGGTGGAAATTCTCCGCAAAGAAAAGCAAGGAACTGGGGCTGACACGTTACATTAGTTTGAAACCCCAGTCTTTCAGCCAAAGAAACAGAGTAAGTTGGAAGATCAGTGATGTTTTCCTTCCAGCTCCTCAGCCACGGTGACAAGCAACTATGCAGCAATGCTCAATGCTCCGGAGAAACGCGGTCTGCACGGCTGGGCAGGCTGGATAGGGCTGCCCGATCACGTCATTTTATGGGCCTGTTTAGCAAACCTTGATTAATCTTGGGCACTGCAATAGTACGAGGATGAAAGTGCCTAAAATAGAGCAAGAGACGCCTAATGCCACTTCAAAGCATTTTGTCTTATTCCAGACAGTATTTATTCCCATATTCCCGCATTCGGGACGGGAAGCAAAGCCCTTCAGTGGGAGGAAACACACCATCTTCAGGCTTCACCTAGCAACACTGAGCGCTCGCTTTCCCAAAAAAGCCCTCCGAGTTGCCTAGCTGGGCATGGACACTGGCCAAATCCCTTCCAGATAACCCTCCTAGTACTGCACACACAATGGTCAGGTTGACAGCTATTTTGGCCCATCAGCTGCAGCTGACCACAGTCTGCAAACATGAAAATCCTTGTTTATGCCGAGCGCTCCTGACGCATCTTCCAGGCTACGTGGTTCCGTCAGAGAGATGGGAACACGAACGGAAAAAGCGCAGGAGCCTGGAGAGCAAAGGGACTGTGGGAACCACAGTGGAGCCTGTGGGCTGAAGCAACCCGGACGCTGCAGAGGTGGAAAAATCACGGACAGATGTGAAAGCTCAAAAACAATGGAAAACCTCAAGGACAGTGATGGACAGACAGAGAAGCAAGAGTCAACCCTGCTGGAGGAGGCTCACAGCCAGGCGCCAGAGCTCCTGCCTGGGCGACTGGGATGGATGCAGGACAGCTGCTTTGGTGGGCCTCCCCCCCCGCCATACCCTCCAAAAAAAGAGGAAAAAAAACCCACCTAGTTCTCAGTCTGAAAACAAAATGACTCACACTCTTCAGTGCATTCTCGCAGAGCGAAGGAAAAAAAAAAAAAAAAAAGAGTTACTCAGCTTAGTGGAAACGTTATACTGTGTGCTGATGTTCCTAAGACAGCGTTAAAAGGAACTATTTAATCACACGAATCTATTTTCACTCGGTTTTGGCTTTCAATGGCCATTCCAAAGATGGAAATACCTTTACGTCAAGTGGTTGGAGGTTAAGTAAATTCTTACCCCGACACTGTAACCTTCTGCAGGCCGTTTCCAAACAAACGGCGTTGCAAGCTTCCAGCACAGTTTCATTTTAAGCTATCACTGTGTACTGACATTCTCTTCCTTTCCAATTATAAGCCAATTATGAAATATTAAGCTTTAACAAGAGGTACATTACGCAGATGCAGATTTTAGGATTATGAACAAGTATAGCCCTTCAATCGAAAACGTATCAAAAGTTGAATTTACAACTCTACGTTCCAGTCTGCAACAATGCCCCTCTGCAAGGAAATTCCTGGTAATGCAAGAGAAACCATGTCACAAGCTGTCAAGAGCAGAGGTGGGTGATGTGTTTTCAACAAATCATAGTCCATCAAAAATGGAATTTTAACCCCAAAGTGGGCAGAAGACTTACTAGAAAACGCTGTAATATTTCAGTCTCAAAATATTTTTCTCTCCTTTGCCCTCATTTAAAAAAAAATTAACTAAATGATAATAAACACAAAAGGAGCAGCAGAACGATGTTGGTTACATCCTCAAAGAGCCTGAAATATTACTGCTGTACTTCAAGTAAAACTAAATTTCCTCCAAAACTTTCGTTTCAGATACTAAAGTGAAATCTAGTATTTCTTAGCTCTTGCCAAGACCCTACGTATATATGGATTTGCGATTCAAGACTACTTGTTTCTTTGAACAAGCACTTGCCATCTATAGAAAAAACACTTGTGCTCGTTATTTTAGTTCACCTTCAGGGAAGCAATTTTACTTGAGATAGCTTGTACAGCTCAGTGGATTTTGGACAGCATGGGGAGAAGGCATGAACGTGCCAACGATACGAGCTCTGCGAGGAAAGCAATCGGGGCCCACGACCGTGGAAGGAAAAGGGCTGAGGTGGACGCGCTGTGTCAGCGCCGTGGCGGAGCAGGGCCGGCCCCGGCACAGCCCTGCAAGGAAATAGCTGTCTTAAAGACTTCATTGAAATGAACTTCAAAGAAATTTCTCCTCTATCTTGTTTGGTATACGTAGATAAACACAGAAGAGAACAGTCTCATTTGTACTGCTGGCCAAGGAGGTTTTTTGGTGGCTTTTTTTTTTTTTTTCTCCTCCAGTCTTCTTATTTTTTCAGGTTATAAATAAATCCCCTGTTGGATTCCTTTTAGGAATCTCTTTTCAGCCCACTGCAATTCTAGGGCAGTTTGCAGGGCGGGCTCCCGCACGTCCCCGAGGTGGTGGCAGCTCTGCGGCGCTGGCATTCAGCATACAGTTCTCTATAGCGTTTGTATCCTGGCCATTTGCATGGGGAAAAATGCAAATTTTGCTGATTAAGCAGCTTTTACATTGCTGTGAGGATTTAAAACAATTTTAAAGAGATTTCGTACAAAGTTCCCAGCCACAGCCGGTTACCTCATGAGTTGCAGCAGCAATCTACAGGGCAGGTGGGGCCTGGACTGCCTTCTTCTTGCCACCTCGCAACGGAGAAACTTATTTTTAGCAATTATTTTATTTAAAAAAAAAAAAATCAGGAAAACAGAATGAATGCACAACAGTGAATCCAGCTCTTGTTGAAAACAGCTTAAAGGCATTTACAGTTTCTAGTTCAAGCCTTCTGGGTTCAGTCAGGACTTCAGGTAAGAAAAAACAACCAACTCTTAGGAGCAGCTGCATTTTAGACCACAGATGATTTCAAACAAGCTCCTTCATTGAGGCTGACAATTCTCTAAATCACATGAGACATCCGTTCTGTGCAAAAAGGTGAGAAAATTCAAACCCCCCAAATGATAATAATACTTGCAGCAAGACTGGTAACCATCGGTTCTTCAAATGCTTTGGTATATTTTGAAGACTGACAAGCTAAAACTTGAACCGAGAACGTCGAAAGCCCAGCATCAAAAGATCTCCAGCAACTTGCAGTGCCAGCCAGCAGCCCTGTCCTGTCCGTCCCTGCAGCCGAGGTGATACTATCCAGAGAGACCTCTCCTTTTGAGGGAGCGGGCAGCACAGGGAATGCTGGACCACTGCCAAGACAAATGAATTTGCCGCAGGGACTCACGCCAGGCTGAGGTCCTGCTGCGTGCTGTGGCCCAGCCTCGCGTTCCCGAGCCCACTCCGAAAGTGCCTCCGGGTACAAGTCGATAAAGCAAACTGCAAACTGGCCAGCTGCAAACAACTGCCAGGCCCCGGTCTCACCGCCGCGGCTTAAACAGGGGCCGGGCAAAGCAGCCCAAGAAGTTATCTAGCAAGGCACAGACAAATGAAGCTAAATATGTCCATTATCAGCAGCAGTGTTTTTCCTCTCTTTGCGTTCCAGGGTCAGTTTTTTGGGGTTTTTTTTTTGGTTTTTTGTTTTTTTTTTTTTAAAGGCTTGGTCACCTGTGTTGCTGTGACTAGCTAACAGAATTATTCACACTATATTCACAGTATTCACAGCTATTCACACCGTTTTTTGGAAGCTGTTCCCCCTTCTTTTTTCCCTCAAGTAATTTCTAAAATGCCTTCCTCATGTGAGTTGCTAACGCAGAAGCTAATTCTTGCAAATCAGTGGCAAAACGTGTAGAATTCTGCCTCCCAGTTCAACATAATTTGTAGGAGTTGAACAGCACGGCAGCTGAACTCGGGATTTAAACGCCATGGATTCCTGAAGGCCCCTTGAAGTTTGTTTTCCACTCCCAGGTACTACAGCAGGGCTCCTTCCAGACACAAAACACTTACAAGGAGTACTCCTGCCTGGCCTCCATTAGAGCCTTCCCCATGTTTTCACTGTAATATTCAAGGAACCATCTACACACACAGTTTTTTTTCCTAAGAAGAACCCAGACATTCTTCCTGTATGAGCTGCAAAAGGCAGACGTGCTAGTTTCTGCAAGTGCTGGTGGCTCCCATCCCACTGTAAACTTGAGTTGAAGGACGGGGAACTGGCAGGAGATGCCTCCTGCAACGAGCTGTTCCACGAGGCCTTCACAGGATCAACCTCGGAAGTGTCTCCCACTGATTTACGTCTCAGGAGTCTCCCTCACGGTGCCCAGAAGACCTGTTCTTAGGTCTGGGCAATTATCATTACAGAATTCTAACCACTTCTTTGGCCTCTTTTAAGCCAAGTGTTACACGTAGTAATGCCATCATTTTCTCTTCTAATGCTTGGTTTCTGGGCTGTAAGGAATGAGATTCAGGGAAAACACAGTAAAACCACCATGAACTAACGCGACCTAAATCAAACACAGGAGGCTGGAAAAGCTCACTGTATACTCGTGCCTCTTTTCTGTAGAAATTTGGCAGCATCCAGACAGGTTCCATATGTACTAACTTTCTCCCACCAAGACACTTCTGAAAAGTCCAGGATGTATCAAGATGTGGCTGCTGCAGCAGCCTATCTGGATGCTGTTTGCCCTCAGTAGCTTAAAAGCTGTTTACTTGGGCACGGTTCTTGCCACTACGAACTAGGCATTTGCCACGCTCGAACTGCACGAGCATCGCGTGCTGGGCCTGGGAGCCAAGGCAGCAGGAGATGGAGAGGCTCCAGTGCATACCAAGAGCAGCAACCACATTCCCACGTGCTCCTGGGTGGTTCTGGAAGACGCCGGGTTTTTTTTTTTTTTTTTTTTTTAAATAAAGCAGCAAAGTACGAGTCCTAGGAGGAAAGGGGGAAAGCGATTGCCTGGAACGGGGTGGGGGAAGAACCCAAGCTATTGAAAGTTTTTTGCCACCTAACCTGAAGGTAGCATCATATCTGGAAGCGTGTTTCACTAGCAACAGGGCATTATCCAGATATAAGATACCAAACCACAGATCAGATTATCCAGCCCAAGCTGAGAACACAGCTAGAACAAAGGGCAAAGCCCGCACCTCCCTAAACAAGGCCATGACTTGGCTCCAAAAACTGCAGAAAGTTACATAAATAGAAAAGCCAATTCATGAGAACAAAAATAAAACCTTCTCTTATGGATTATAATACTATTGTAAGTGCACTCACTCAGTAACCCAAGGCCTAAAAACCTCTTTAGATCACAAAGCAACAAAACCTAAGTCAAGAGACCCCAGTGCATTGAACAATTTTTTCTAAGAGAAGAACCAAATACAAAAGCTGGTGTCGCACTCTGCATTACAGAGCTGGGTGGACCAGGACTCCTGGAGGAGCCCGAGGGGCTTATGGGCCCAGCTCCCACTGAATTGTATTTGCTCTTTGATGTAGACTGTAAGAAGAGGAGAAATCCCTTTTGGGAGTTTGCCTCTTAGTCTCCTTAGCCTGCTTTGAAAAGTTCAGCCAATAACACAGGCCTTGGCTCCTCTACTTAGTCTAATCTATTAAAGCAGCCTGTTGAACAGGTTCCTAATTGCCATGTCGCTAACTTTCTATTGAAGCTCAATGAGTTAGCAAGAAAAGTAAGAAACTTTTTCTCTATCGCTCCAAAGGAAAGAATAAACTAATATAATCATCATTTAGTAAGCTACTAATTCAGAAACCTAATCTCCATTTACAGCCTAATGCTGTTCAGAACAGCAGGACAACACTAAATATAGAATCTCACACGTTCACTTAACTAAAACAACATTTATCTGTTTAAGTAGCCACTACAGTCTCTCTCTTCCTTCCTCTATTAACTTCTCATCCCCATGCTTGAAGCAATTTCACCTCTTAACCACAAGCCATCTTCTTCTCCAGACCTTCGTCTTCAAACCCCACACCTTCGTCTTCAAACTCCACTTTCTCTGAAAGGTTGCTGTGCTGCTCTCTCCTTTCTTGCACCCTTGCCCAATGCTCGGCACAGCTGGACTGCGCCTTTGCACAGCCGTGTCCACTTCCAGGCAGGGACTCTTGCTCCAGCGTGTAAAGTACCATACACACTTGCACCGTCACCTTCAGTGAACGGTACTAATGCTGGGTTTCTGTCACCGTTAGAAGTTCCCACTCTAACAGCACAGCTTATTTCCCTGCAGGGCTTTCCCCCGCCTTGGACTCCTGGGGAAATCCCAAGCGTATGTGCTGCGACTCCAGAGCATCACGCCAAGCTGTGAACACACAGTGCTGTAAGCAGCGTGCAGCACAGCAGCTAAGCGGCCAAAGAAAGCAACTGCTCCCTAATGCGATCCCATAGTCTCTTTATAGCTTTACAACACGGTGATTTGGGATGCATGTCTATCTACAAAAAGAGCTGTCTGCTAGCAGAACTTGCACCCGCTACAGTGCATTATGCGCCCCTTAGTCACGTTATAGGCACAATCACCCCAGCAGGTCACTGCAGCAAAGGTGTGGGATGCTACCTTTGTAAGCACTACGCAATAGCAACAGTCCAAACGTTCAGATTGAAATGGTATCGATTCTGTCATTTAGGCGTACACAGCATCTGCTCTTAACGCTGCAGCAGGATTTCTGAGCATCACTTTTTTGTGTCAGACCAATACATTACAGCCACTTCCACGGAAACTCTGTTAAGGGCAAATTCTAACACCAAACATACTAAAAGGCCAGAAATGGATCAGAACTGACTCGCTGTGTCATATCCAAGGTCTGTTTAGCCTACTCTTCTTCAGCAGAGGCCAACAGCGGATCCTTAGACCCAATAGTCAAGAAAGAGGACAAGTAACATTTCCCGATTTATACTTTCTCAGCTTCTGGCAAATAGTGGTAGCAGCACTGCTGAATGAAGAATGGATTACTTTTTAATACGTTTTAAGTTTACTTTCTATGAAGGCATTTTAAGGATCAAGGTGTTATCACAGCTCAACTCAAATGCGGTGCTTAACAGATAACATGCAAACATCCAGGAAAAAATAAGAAATAGTAATAAAATAAAATTGTCCTTCATGCTTGCTTTTCAAAGGACTGTTACGATTCTCCTGGGTTTCTAACACACAGAACATTTTACCATCAATAAGATCTGAAGATAAATTATAAAGGTACCACTTAATAAACTGCAGATTTTGCTCCAGCCACATGACTATGCTTCTCTGTCAGCTGAAAATCCATCTGCTTCCCTACTGAAGCCACCAAACTCAGGAACAAGTTTTTCTTCTTTTTCTTGGCTGCAATAAAGAAGGTGACATCTCATATAAGTCTTTACCTCTCCTCCTTCCTGGCCGCTCCCCGGCTTTTTAGACTTCTTGGTTCAACGTTTCCTGGACACTAAGTCACACATACTGCTCTGAGGGCGCCCTGTTTGCATTACCCGAGACGTCAGGTCAGCCAAAACACACAAAACTCGCAACACTGTCGTGGATGGCCACGCAGACCAGATGCAACGCGCCTACTCCAGTGCCTTCTATTTGGTCAGAATATCTGTCCCCCCCCCCCCCCCCAAACACCAGCCCTCCTCTCTCTGCTATTCAGATGCCCTTATTAATTCTCTAAAGTGCTCAAAAAGAGTCACAACTGCGGAGGCGTTGGCAGAGGTCAGGATGGCATTAGTAACAGCTCTTCTTGGAATTCCTGGTTACCAAAAGCTCTTCTCCGTAGCAGCCAGAGTCTATTAAAGGATTACAAGAATAAAAGTAATATTATTATTTCAAGGTTTTATCACCAATATGGATGAACTTGTGCCACAATAAACGTGAATTTCTCTCAGATAGTTCTCTATTCTTGAGGAAAAGTTTTCCCTAGTTTAAGGCTGAGAAACCTCAGGTAACATAGTCACAGGTAACACGGGTAACATGAGTTTATCCTGGAGAAAAGAGCTAAATGGTTAAACGCCGAGAGATCCAATTCAGTAGAATCACTTTACTGTTGCAATCTGGTTAAATAACTGAACTTATTCACTCCGTCTCAACTGAACTTATTCACTCCGTCTGTGCTAATCTTTGCTCTTCGCTTCCAAGCACTGTGCCCGGCACACTGACTTACATTCACAGTAAGATTATTAATTGCTGCAGAAAAAAAGAACTGCTAAACATTACACAACTGAAAAGTGACCTGTATTCACATCTAAGGAAAAAAAACCAAGGATCTCAGTTAAGTCCACATCATGCCTCTTGGACAATCAACCTAAAACCACTTTGCCTTTCAAACAGCTGACCTGCTTTATCTTCAGAAAGGCAGCAAGGATGCAACAGCCTCACTGACCGCGTTTCACAGCTCCTTGCGCATTCAACCTGGAATCCGGGTATCCGAGCCCAGTGAAAACTGCAAAGTGCCAAGTTGCAGCCACAACTCCCCCTGCAACTTGCCGGATCGCCGCGTAGGGCTTTCTTCCCAAACCTGCTAAAAGCCTTCCTAGCTTAAACCCTAGATTTACTAAAAATTTGTATAACTGCCAATTGAAAAATAGCGTTAAGCGGTATTCATACAAAAAGCTTTAGATCTGGCCAATAGCTGATACTAGTGGCTAAATTGCAACAACAAATAATCTTGGCTGTGCTGTATGGCTGAAAAACAACTATCCCCCAACATGTGACCCGGTCAGAAAGATGTACGTAAAATATGAACAGTTACCATATATTATCTGCATTTCTAAACTGCAAACTTCTGACATGCCAATATCCCAGAGCACTTTATTGCACTGGCTGATGTACAGTGCCTTTGGGGTTCATCAGTCACAGCTCTAAATGCAGAGCCCTCCTGTACATCAAGAGATTAGCTTCTTGTTTGCTTTGGACTTTTTTTCCTTAGGTTACGTGGAAAGTGGCAGCAATGCTTGAGGGGATTAATTGCCTGGATTTCAAGAAACAAGCAAAATACCCCCATGCAACCAAAAGTTCCGTTTTGGGGGATTTTAATGCAAGATTTTAACATTTCAAATCTCTCTGGTTTTGGCTGGTGATAGGCACACTTGTTCATGGAACAGCAGCAAATCCGTTTACACTCAGTATTTCTGGACACAAGATACCTACGATCCCCAACAGCTGGGCAAGGGAGGAATTAAAACCCAAGAAGTCACAATAAGGGGCTGGCGGCATCCGGGCTGTTACTCGAAGAGACTCCGCACCTCATTATGTGTGTATTTTTTGTATAAAACCTAACAGCCTCAACAGAGGGGAAAAAAAAGGTGAATGTAAATGAGCGTTTCAAACTGTTGAATACTGGGCAAGGTGTTTCAGAGCTGGAAAAACGTTAGACGTGCACTTGTCCTCTCTCAGGAAACAGGATCTGTGCATGACTTATCTTATCATACATCTTTCACACGGTGGCAAAAATGGAACCAGAAGCATATGAATTGTTAAGGGAGTGAGATGACAGAAGGATTTCAATGAGTACCAGACAACATTAAAGCTGGTCATTTAAGAAATCCCAGTATTCTTTTAGAGATTCACATCAGAGCACGGGAGCTTAAAGTTGCTACTTGTTTCATAAAATCTCAGCCGAATTTCAGCCAGGAAGGCAGAAGGGAAACACGTAAAACATTCGTAGCAGCACCTTGGCCCCCAGTCGAGAAGTTAACGAACGAGACTGGGCAGTGGTGTACACAGAGCTTAAGGCAGAGGGAAAATCTGGCTGACTTTCCATATGATCTGGGTTGGATAAAACGATGAAGAACGAAATG